AAATTATTGGACTCGTTTTAAATACAAAATCATTTCTTACTCTAATCACATTTTTCGATCCAACATTGATAACATTTTTGCTGGTGATAGCATCTTGCAACTGAAATAGGTAATCCTGGTTTTATTTTTATTTGCTTTGTTTTTTGTTTCTGTTTTGTCCTGCTGCACAGGATGAGATGCACACCTGGCTCCTGGGATTCAGCACAGCAATAATTGACTCCCAAAGCATTAAATCCAAGGCTCAGAGCCTCCCTCTGCCTCCCATCACCACCACAGATGTGAACCTGACCAAGAAAGATAAAGAGAAGAGATTCAGCTTCTTTCCCAAAAAGAAGTAGCCACTTGCTCCAGTCAGATGCCTGTGTGCTAAGGTGCATAGTGAAAAAACTGCATGCACGGGTCTCCTTGGACACCCCTGGTACCACCCAGCACTGTTCCCCACACAGATCTCACTTCCTCCTTTTCATTTTTCACCACATCTCCCCAGCTGGCACAAAGCCAATGTTTCAGGGAAGAAAGCAGCATCCTTGCTTCAGGACAAGCCGTGTTCTCCAAAACAAGAGCTGGGAGAGGCATATTCATAGATGTCTGACCAAATGGACATCACTCCAGAAAAATACTGTTTTTTGAGAACAATGCTGTGTGGCTTTTCGGGAATGTTACAGAGAAAAGGAGTGGAATGGAGTTCTATCAGGCCAAAGATGTGCTGTCTTGAAGCAGTTTCCTTTTCTTTGTATCGCCAGATCACTACCAAAGCTCTGGATTCTATAAGCCAATTTTCGCATCTCCAGTTGGCAGATAGAATCATCACACGGAATTTAGAAATGATAGTTGAATAATTCTCTCTCTCTCTCTCTCTCTGAAGATCAAAGGCAGCATGCTTTCATCCAGCTCCTGGCTTATTTCAGCATTCATGCTAAATTGTCAGGACAGAGTTTCAGGAGGCCAAATGTTTCACTTCACGTTATGGAGAACTGCAATCTAACCACACACGTTGTTCATGTCATAAAGCACAGTATGTTTTACAACTTGTTCAGTCTACACCCAATAAACTGCAGGCAAAATCCCCAATAGTCATAGTAGGTTCAGAGTATAGCCAGAAAATTAAATTATCTATATTCAAACGTACACACTAAATTGTTTGGAATTGAGATGTTTGTAGATATACGCACCCAGGAAATAAATCATATTCACTTTCTACAGAACACTACGAGCACAATCCAGCTAATGTGACTTATGCATTTCTCCCACTAGCTAAATTGAGGGTTCAGTGGGCCTAACTTGCAACCAACCTATGCTGGGTTTTGCTCCATGTTATTTAGTGAGATTATTAATTCCATTCTTTATGGCGAAGTATATAACACTTTGCAACTAGAATGTAGGTGCCATGCCTGCCTGTAAGCTTTTTAAAAACATCTGTCCTGTATTGGCTCAGCTTGCCAGAAGCAAATGGCTCTTCTGTTGTTCCTTTGTGGAACATGTTGTGCTGAGCATGCGCTTGCCTCAGCTTCTCTCTTCTGCAGCAGTGTCTGTTGTGGTGTGTTTGTGAATGGCTCTTTAAAATAGATACTCCTCACCCTCCTTTATGAAGTGTCACAAGCCCCCAACCTAAAGCACGAATTCAGCGCAAAGGCAAAGAGCATCTCAGCTGAATTGCTTATTGGAAAAACATTCTTTGAAATCCAGTTGCAATAAGAGTTTAAGAGGCCTGTGGGACTGATGTTCCTACAATGGCCTTTTGGCAAGTATGCCATTCTTGATGGGGATTTTCATTTCTTACAAAGCCGGCCAAACTTTAATTTCTCTCTTCAACATCCAACCCCTAGGGCTCATTATATTTAATATTTTTGGTTTGGAATGATATTATACCATTCTAAAAGTGCCTTAACCTAGGGACATTTCATAATTATTGCTTCTGGAGTGAGCAAATTCAATAAGCACCATGCACAGAAAGGTCTGGGTTTTTCTTACTGGAAAGGATGCTGTAAGTCGAGTTTTACAGCCAAAAAGAACGCACGAGGGGGAATCATCTCTCTGCTTAATATAAATTGCATTGAGTGTGGATATAGGCCCAAAGAACCAAGGTTTTAGATTCTTCGGTTCCTTTTTGTTGTATCTCAAAATGCTGTGCTCTTCCAAATTGCCTGGATTGTAATCGGTAGGCAATAAACTCTTACTAATGCAATGGGGAGATTGAAACTACATTTGATATGTTAGTGTAACTTATTTTAAAAAAGTAGTAATATAATAGTTTGCATTGTGAATTTTCCCTTCCAAAACTATTCTGAAGCATCACTGCCAACTTTCTCCCAGTGTATGTTTAGGAGGCACAGAAAGTTTCTAATTTATAGTATGAAGGCTACCTAACCTTATATAAGGCCTCGTAAAATACCAAACTAAATTTGGGTTTGTAGGTCAAATAAATAAGTCATTGTGAGCACATGGGCTCATTAAATTGAGCAGTGTTATTTGTGGTTTAGCCCCCTCCAGTCAAGTAGAATTCAAGTCTGCTTATTCCCAGTCACTTCTGGATTAAGGGCACTTTTGATCTTAATCCATATCAGGGTACAGGAAGAAAGTGGTCTTCTCTGTTCTTCCAATCTATGCTTATAGGGAAACTAAGTTATTCTAATCAGCACACTTTTACTAGAGCACATACCAAGTTAAGCCAAAGAAAGGAAGCATGGGGTTGTAATTTCACTATAGTGTTTTGTTTTTTTTACCTGCTATAAAGCTATTCTCAGGCAACAGGAAAGGAGTAATACAGATTCAGCGAATTTGTTTTTATGTTCAAAGTATTCTTTAAGACTGGCATGTGCTCAACTGATTCATTTGCAAAAGTCACCAAAAGAGTTTTTATTGAACATTTTGCTTAAATACATTTCACTTGTACATTTTAGCACTCAGTGGGAACATGTACAGCAAGAGAGAAGTGCCATCATCATTGCTTTCTTGGAGGACATTTTCACCTGTCACTCCTGAGTTTAAACTTGTAGTGCACTGCCCATTTTCAGATAACTGAAATAAAAACATGACTAAGATACTCTTTGAGGCTATTCCCGCTTTATGAGGACCACTGCCCTGCACTGTACTACCTGCTTATAGAAAGCGGCTGTATTCCTTAGGTGCATTTTCTTCCATCCTGTTTGTTTAATCTGTCATGAACTGGGCTTCTGAACCCATTACAAATCTCTCAGCTTGTAGGCATCGGGTAGAGTTGACTGTGACTCACAGCAATAGGCTCTTACCTATCAACAGACCAAAAGCATTGGCGTTATCCCATAGGATCCATTTCCTGCCTGGTGATTGGCAGCCTTATCTTATCTGGGCTTTTCCCTCTTCGTTAACTGCTTTTCACAATCCCACTTATGCAAGTCAGCACATGTTAGAAGGGAATGTCATGTGACCAGGCCCAGAATACATACACTTCAGAGTGCCAATAGCTGAAGTACCCAAAGGCCTCTCCTACGGGATCTGGGGGCTGGAGTTAATCCTCTTTTCACAGCTAGGCATCACGTTCTGCCTGCTTCCAATGTGCTTCCACTGTCCAGAGAAAAGAGCTAAAGCTTCAGAATGTGCTTCAGAAGCAATTTAACATTTTTTTTCTAATAAATGAACCAATAAGCTTTTCCTGGCTCTGTGATTTTTGGGGGGTTTTGTGTGCGTGTATGTGTGTGTAGTTTGTCTTCCTAAACCACGATGGGAACAGTGTGCTTAAATGATCCATTATCTCAATACAAAGGAAAGGATACTAACATACCTTACTACATTGTGGTGTTTTATGGTACACATTAATGTCTTAGTGCTTTCTGTGATGAAGAAATGCTTCCAGTATAAAGGTTCATTGGGTGTTTTCTACAGGTGATTCAAAATCCACCAAGACAACTCGGGATCATGTTATCCCCTTCAGCAGCTTTGGTGGTTCATTCAACTCAGGCTACAGTGCTTCACAGTTGGCATCAATTCCATATGCAGTTACTTCTCAGGCAGCATTTACTCTTAGCCGAAGTAATCTAACTGCACTTTAGATTCTTCTCATACTGGGAAGAGCATTCCAAGGGCTACAAGACTGGTTAGATTTGCAAGGGCAGAGAACTCTGCGCTTCAAGAGAGAGACCTGATCTTGTTTCTATCATCAAGTTGCAAGAGATTCACAACCACTGCTTCTCAAACAACAATGCTCCAATGACAGACAAAGAAAATTGGCGTTCTGACAAAGGCTATGGATCCATAGGATGCAAACTGTCAACCTGCCTTGGAAATAGGAAGAAAATATCTCAGTCCTGGAGTGGTTACCATGTATTTCCTCTATGTTGGAATAGGAAGAGAACTTTTTACCGCATAGAATTTCTTTGCTTACAAGGTATTTTAATGCAAGACAAATTATACTAAGAAGATGGGCTAAAATGAAGTAATGTGACTTGAAATGGCTTAGAACCCCAATGGATTAATAGACCAGTGTCAGTCCTTGGTACTGCTCATTCTGGAGAGATCAATGACTTCAAGAGTTGCCAATCAGCTTTGTATTTCAAAAAATGCCAGTCAGCATTTTTTGTGCATAGGAAATATGGTACAAAAATCAGTTATTGCAATCTTCCCCAATTATATCCCTCCCCCAACAGTGAAGAGGTCAAAGCCGTATTCGCTGGTCAAAAGTGGTTATTGCACAATGCATATAGATTCAAATATGTACACAAACAGTATTAGGTTGGGTGTTCCTAAATTGAGAGGCCTGGAATTAACCAAAGGCATAGTAAAATTACATTCTTAAAAAAAAAGAAAAGAAAACTTAAAGAATAATAACTTATTTTCCTAGGAGACTGAGAAGTGTACATCTTGTTCTGGCTTCATAAAACAAAAATTTCCAAATATACCAGCTCCTGAAGGGAGGAACATGTTCAAATGGTAATTGATCTGTATTGTTTCTGCTTTGACCGGAAGCTCCCTGATTTTTCTAAATGTATTAAGAGTTCTGCCCAATAATGCTGCCTGGTGCAGTGTCGGTGGCATGTCAGACCCATGTTCAAGTTCATTGATCTTTAAAGAGAGCATTGTTTAAAAATCCTCAGTTTGAGGCAGTTGCAACTTCCCAGAAATTTCAAGCATGACATGGAACAGGCAAAGAAGGTTCTGAGTAGTAATCCAAGAAGGAGATTTGAGAACTTAATGGCACAGGAACAAGAGACGTGGGTGTTCAGCTGGTAGAATTAAGGGTCTGAAATTTCTCTCTTAAGTTTTTTACCAGGTTGTTTTGGCTGCCGGTTTTCTCCCACCATGCTTCCTGAACATCACCCTCATATCTTTGATGTTCTTCTGAGTCTTGATATGACTTGTACCGCTCCACCAACTCTTTGAGAGAAAGCTTCTCTTGATCTGAAGAGGAGAGAATCTGTGGCTCTCTTTCATCGCCTTTAGCTTTATTAGTCTCCTCGGGCAACTTCTCTATCACAATCACATGCTGGTGGTTCTCCAGTGATGCCTTTGCTGTGACACACAATTCCTTTGGAGCATCACAAACAAGTTCCTTGGGGATGGAATCAAGAGAGGCCTTTCTCCTGCAGCTCTGTTTGTCCCTTTCCTGGCTTTTTACGTCTGTTTTTGCAATCTCCTTTGAGCCCCGGAATCCTGCCTGCATCTTAGCATCATCTACCATTTTCTCAGGTGCTGAGCAACTTCTGTTGACAAGCGGGGGTCTGCATTTCTCAGTCGCCACCTGACAGGAATACCTGGACCTCAGCTCCCGCACATCAGGCCAGTCGAATTTCTCAGTCACGATGGGGCTGAGGGGACTGTGAGAGAGGGTGCAGGAGCTGGTGGGGGAAGATAGGCTGACGGAGCTGTTACTGGAAGAGAAGCGCTTAGGTGACTTCTGACATGTTGATGAAGCGGAAAGAAGGCCTAGTGAGCTAGCCTCCTGAAGCACAATTTGTTCATAGGTGGGTAGACACAAGGTAGACTTCTTTTGGCCTAAGCAAAAAAAAAAAAAAGTCAGAATAAGACAATGTTGGTACAAATAGAGGGGGATTTATTGAACCAACCCATTCAATGTAATTGCAAAATTCATTCTTTCTCCTGCAACCTAATACTTTTGCCTAGTTAGTAGCAACTCTGCACTCACAAATCACTTATTTACAGGAAAAGCCAAAAATGAGAATCTGCAGCTCTATAACCTTGGATATTAAGAGTGGCAATGTGCTGGTTATAATATCCCAAACATTCAAGACAAAAAGTATCTCTCTTCTCACCCCTCTCGTACCTCTCTTGATTCTATTTTGAAACCTAAATGGAACTCAGAAATTTAATCTTACTAGGTTACATCTGAAAAATCATATATTTGTTTCTATCCAAAGTAAGAACACTTAATGCTATTCCACTATGTCAATTAAGGGAACAGGAAATGATAAAAGAACGGATACTTTGTCGATGAAGAAAGATTCAACCAAAACATCTAATTCAGTAGAAGATAATATTTACAACTCAGGGTTGAATTATGGAGTTCTTGATGGTTTTTGAGTTTGGTTGTTTTCTTGCAGAAATTTCATTACCCAATTAGGTAACAGGTGCTCTTTTTTATATACCATGGCTTGCCCTGTCATTGGAAGTAGGGTAATGAAACATCTGCAAGAGAGCACCAAGGACTCCACAATCTCTAATTCTCTAACAGACCAATAGTGTAAAATGGATTTCAAGTGGCTCTTCTTTCTTTGAAAGAAGCTGTAGCCAATGTTAAACATGTTTTAGTCTGTGAGTAAAAAATCTTGTGCCTACAAAGATTTGGAGAACTTCCAATATTTATATACTTAATTTTATGTTATTAAATGTTTATACCACCCATCTCACTATCCAAAGCAACTGCCAGGCTTTAATAATATCTCTTTTCATGAAGTAGGCTTGTCTGGGATTATGGAAGTTGATCCAAAACATCAAGAACAGTGTTTCTCAACCTTGGTAGCTTGAAGATGGGTAGACTTCAACTCCCAGAATCCCCCAGCCAGCGCTGCTGGCTGGGGGATTCTGGGAGTTGAAGTCCACCCATCTTCAAGCTACCAAGGTTGAGAAACACTGATCTAGAAGGTACCAGATTATCTAATCCTGAATTAAACTCTTGCCAATTGGACGATATACAGGTAGTCCTTAACTTAAAACTAAGTTAAGGTAAAACCTTATGGCCACTTCTTGTATTCATGACCATCGCAGCATTCTTAGGGTCAGGTGATCAAAGTTCAGATGCTTGGCAACTGGTATGCATTTGCGATAGTTGCAGCATCCCAGAATCAGTGATCATCATTTATGAGCTTCCAAGCCAGCTTCTGATAGGCAAAGTCAATGGGGGAAGCCAGATACACTTAACAACTACAGTGATTCACATCAACTGTGGCCAAAAAAAAAAAAAAGTCATAAAATTGGGCATTAACAACTGCCTTGCTTAGCGATGGAAATTCTGGTCCCAATTGTGGTCATAGATCAAGGATGACTTGAAATATATTCTTATGGGGGTTCTAAACAATATTTAGAAGCTTCAATTGGCACACAAAACAGGAATCAAATATGTTTCTAGAATTGTTCTTTTCAGATCACTTTATTGCAGTTTTATTTAACCACTGGCTAGAATTCCTTTCTGGGTTCAGTTCAAGATGGTGTATATTATGCACAAAGCTTTAAATGAGCCATTCTAAATCCCTATCCACTAAGTTAATTAATTAAAGTTTCCAGTGTTTTAGGCAAGCCGGGAGTAAGCTATTTCTCTTAAATGGCTTGAGACCAGCATATTGAAAGTTCTGGTTCTTCCTCATGTACAGGTATCTATTCTCCTGCTCCATTATCAGAGATCCTGCTCCTCATGCTTCTGCCAATAAAATGACGTCTCCATAGTGTTGAGTTTTCAGGACTTCCTGAAGTGTGGCATTTTAATTCATTAATTCCCTTCTCAAAGAGGTAGGGCAGGTGTTTCCCTGATGACCTGGCTTATAAATAGGCAATTTGATTGACCTATTATGTGATACAGGTAGTCCTTGACCTACAACCATTCATTTAGCAACCACATTGAAAAACTGACTTATGACTAGTCCTCACACTTGCAACCATTGCGGCATCCCCAAGGTCATGTAATCAAAATTTAAACACTTGGAAAGTGGCATGTATTTATGCTGGTTGTAGCATCCTAGCTTCATGTGATCACCATTTATGACCCTCCCAGCTAGCTTCCAAAATGGAGGAAGATGAATTCATTTAATGACTCCATAATTTGCTTAAAAACTGCACTCGTTCATTTAACAACCGTGGCAAAAAAAAAAAAAAAGGTAATAAAACTGGGCACAAACTTACTTAACCATCACTTGTTTAGCAATGGAAATTCTGATTCCAATTGTGGTCGTATGTTGAGGACTACCTGTAACTCCTAGCTGAGCTTGGCTGACTTCAAACAGCTAAACTGGTTTGGATTTGCTTAGCATTTAACCAGGATTAATTAATAAAATCCTGCGGCTCTCAGCTAGATTGGAAAGGCAAAAAGAAATCCCAATAGAAGGCAATGACAAAGCTCTATACTATTGCCAAGGGAATTTTTTTGCTAACTGATATTGCTAATTATAACGTGCTAATGTTCCCCATGTTAAATTTTTATATTGTAGGATTTTAATACTGTGAGCCACCTTGGAATTCTACTATTAAAAAAAAAAAGATACGATAAAAGTAACTTTATAATATAATACGCTAAGAGATCAATTGTGTGCAGTTTTTAGAGGCAAAGCATTTCTTTGAGCAAAATGTCTTCTTTTATTACGGTAAGGACAGGCAAGCCTGTGGAACAGACAAATAGTAATAATCCCTCTTTCTTTCTACAGCAACCTCACTTCTAGGTATTGCTGTAATTAACATAATAGCAACAAATGTCTTCTTGGTCATACATACCTTTGTCTCTCTTAACTACTCCCTGTTGGTCAGTCGACGTGTTTCTCTGCATCTCCTCCTCTACTTCAGCAAGTCGCCTGCGCATGGATGGTTTCTGGTTCTTAATTCGGAGGCTGTATTGGCGGGCCAACTGGTAGACTTTGTTCCTCACCTTCTCTGTCAGCTCAGCCTCAGTGAGATGAGCCAGCTCCATTATGTGATGGGGCATCTGAGGGAAACTCTGATCTTGATTACAGCTCCCTAACTCTTGTGCTGCTTTCCAGGGTAATCTGGATGGCATGGTCTGCTCCACAGGAGCCTTGTTCTCAGGAGGGGGTACCACTGGCTCCTCCTCTACTATGTCCCTAAGATCCTCATCCTCCAGGATAAGAAGTGGTTCATGAAAGTCAAAGCCATTCTCCTGATTTCCGAACCTGTCTTTCAAATAAGACTCAGTCTGGCCCAGGCTCCCATTTGCTTTGCGCTCCCTACAGACTTCGGTCCTCATGTTCCAGAGTTTGCTCTTCGATTGCTCCATCTCCTCCCAGAGTTTAATCATCTCATTAGGTGACCTGAACTCTGCTTCAGTGATAGGCATTGGATTTTCCTCACTGGTTGTCTCCAAATGGGGAGACGGGAGTGCAACACCAGGCCTATTTGAAAGCATCAAAGATACTGCCTTGCTTGCTACACTATTGTCCAAGGGGGGCGGTCTCTTCCTCTTCAGCACCTCCTGTCCAGGTTCTGGCTGGGGAAGACTGTTTATCCGAAAAATAGAATTTCTCACCAGCCCTTTGGGAATGAAGGACAGACTCTCCCTCCGCCTGACACTGAAGTTAGCATCCTGGTGCTCAGCATAATCATAGTAACTCTTGATCTTGTCCAGCAGCAGCCGGTCCTGGTGGGACAACATCGATTCCTTCCGTCGACAAGAAGAATGGTCAGACTCAACCAGGCCAGGCCGCACTGCACCGTTGCAAGCACTGTTGGGTTCGGCAGAGGGCTCTTGCAGGATGCTGCAACTCTGGGAGTCCACAATAGTGCAGCCATTGTTGCAACACTCAGCCTCTTCGCCCCCTTCCAAGCTCAGAACACTGCTGCTCCGGCTGGCCATCTTTGGTGTGAGGTAGCCCTTCCCTTCCTCGTGAACCAAGCTATTGCGACGGGAGAGGCTACTGGCAAAGCGCTCTGCAATGATACTGGCCTGATCTAGCACAGAAAAGGGGAGGATGCTGCTGGATTGTGGTGCATGACCATCCTCTTCCTCCTCTTCCTCCTCACTGCTCAAAGGCTTCAGTTCTTCTACATTTTCAGCAGACTCCATGATATCTGAACCTTGATCCAGGAGCCTATGGTGATCTAGATCTGGATGCTGAGGGTTCTCTTCTAGACACTCTTCCCGATGTGAAGGAATGTCTAGCACTTTGTCAAGCTCAATAGGTGATCGAACCTGGGAACACATCAAAGAAAAGAGATGAAGAGAGAGGGAATCTCAATGACGATGATTTGTGCCTTCAAATCAGTGTTGACTCTATTAGTCCCTAAAGTTTTCTTGGCAACATTTTCTTAAGTGGTTTACCATTGCCTTTTTCCTCGGACTGAGAGAGTGTTATTGGCTCAAGATTCACAGCTGGCTTTGTGCCTTAGACAAGACTAGAATTCATAGTCTTCTGGTTTCTAGTCTGTTGGCCTTAATCACTATACCAAACTGTCTCTCACTGATTCTTACCCCAATTAAATTACTGTAATGACAGTTGGATGGTTATCTATTATGAGCCATGGTGGTGGCGCAGTGGTTAGAATGCAGTACTGTAGACTACTTCTGCTGACTGCCGGCTGCCTGCAATTTGGCAGTTCAAATCTCACCAGGCTCAAGGTTGACTCAGCCTTCCATCCTTCCAAGGTCAGTAAAATGAAGACCCAGATTGTTGGGGGCAATATATGCTGACTCTGTAAAATGCTTAGAGAGGGCCGTAAAGCATGGTGAAGTGGTATATAAGTCTAAGTGCTACTGTTATTATGCGACTGTATAGTGAACTGTATTTAGCTACTAGGAAACTGTTCAAAGGTCAAAGTTGTTAATTTTAATACAGAATTTTCAAGGCCATAAAAATGTACTTATCTACAACTTGGTTCATCTGAATACAGTATATAAATGTAAATCATTTTATATGCTGCATCCCTTGTGGCCAACACAAATTGCCAACCAGATGATGTACATGATGCAAATAATAGAAATAGTTATCAGGCTCAGCTTTGATCAGAACTGCATTATCTGCCAGCATTTGCCTACCTTTGGCACGGATGACACAATCTCCACAATCCTCTCTCTAATGCTGGAAGAGTGGTCTTGTTTGGGTCCTTCCTGTGTCTTGTGGCCCTTGCCCTGAACCAAAATAGCAATGATCTTGTTAGAGGGCTAAATGGTTGGTTCTGAGAACAGAATCATTGTGTTTATGCTGGATTATCAGACAAGAGCGGCCAAATATCTCTATTCAGACCCTATTATCATTCTGATACAACTTAAGTCTTATTCATGTCTCCATGTATACAATTGAAAAAAAAAAGGTAGCGTACTCCAGCTACTGAAATATATTAAAGAATGATCAAAAGTTTCTACGCAGGCCCAAGACTAATATTCCAGCTATTGGATACAGCAATAAGCTAAGCAAATGGAAGGAGAACATATGTCAGTGGGATGTCAGCTGACCTGCTGCCCAGACACAAAATAGTTTGCAGCCAACCATTAAGACGAACCTTTATTTTGTCTTGTAGCCAGTTTTATATCCTACAACATTTAGCAATTGTACATTTCAATCTTTTTTTTTTTAATCTGCAGGCTGATCAATGCTTTATAATATATGCCTTTAGTACTGGACCCAAGGAAGGGTCCAAAAGCACATGGAATGGGATTTGTCAAGAGGGCAACTTAAAGATGAACATTGTCTCATTACTGAATGATTAATGTAGCAGAACTTTCCTTACACGTGAAAAAAATAGGTTAAAAAATGGATTTTCAACAGAGACAAAGCAAATTGATCCAAGAATTCTCTTTTTTTTTAATCAAGCGCAGATCCAGTTAGGTTGTATGGAAGAGCGTAAAGTGCCAAGTCAGTTGGTAGTGCCACTTAATAGTTAAGAACCCTGCATGCAATGCTTCTTTTTTAGAGATATCATCTAGGCCAGGGGTCTCCAATCTTGGCAACTTTAAGCCTGGAGGACTTCAACTTCTAGAATTCTGGGAGTTGAAGTCTGACAGGCTTAAAGTTGCCAAGGTTGGAGACCGCTGGCTAGGCCCAAGTTGGTCTATACCAATCCTTGTCCAGTTCCAACTGATTAGAAGATTTTAGGGAGCGCAGCCTAAGCCATGCACTAAGCCAACATGCAGAAGGGACACGCAGCAGAGACTCAACAGGCACCTCACCGTGCTGCCCCAGGAGAAAAGCAAAGTATTGGCCCGATAGTGCCAGCAATGGAGGACTGCCATCAAGGAGCTTGCAAAGTCTGACACCTGCTCCGTTCCTACCAGCCTGTCCTCTTCCTCCTCATCTTCTTCTTCCTCCTCCTCGTCTTCCTCCTCTTCTTCCTCTTCCTCCTCCTCAGCTCCATTCTCTTCTTCGAGCCCCGTCTCCTTCTCACTGCCATCACTTTCAGCCAGCTCTTCAGAAGATTCCTGGGGAAGGGTCTGCTGATCCTCCTCTTGGGATAAGCTGTGGGGGACCTGTGGGTGTTCCCCAAACTCCAGAAGGGCTCCATCACTATCTGCGTGCTATGTGAAGTGAGGGTAAGCAAGGGTGTCCTTTAGAAAGGTCTTGGCAAAGAGATGCTATGTCAACAGGACTTCTCTTCCTCCCTTCTCCTCCATGGTTCCATTTCTTCAAGAGCTACAGAATATGGCTTAGGGCAAAGGTGAGTGCTCTCCCACTGGCAGGTCGGATTAAGCTTTAAGAAGCATTTTAAGGGACTGAGGGCTCACCAAAAGGCACCCATTACTTTTAATTCCTTTACAAGGGGAGCTGTTTTCCAACCTTTTCAAAAATTCTGAATCTTACCTTTAATCCTACTGAAGATTTGCAGCACATAAAAAAGAGAAGAAAGGAGACAGTTAGAGGACAAAAGGCAGAGTTTCATTTCCTTGCTCAGTTATGCATCTGGCTTCCTGTTTGATCCCTTCTCCATTTGGGGGGGGGGTGCACACAGAATCAGAAGACATGAACAATATGCAGGTTTTGAGAATATATGTATCTTTTATGCAGTTTGAAAGGCCTATCTCTATAGTCACTTTGATCATTAGAGACTTATAATTAGAAAGAGGAAAAAAATGGCAAATGAGTGAATGCAGGCAGCCCACAAGTTATGCCTGACTCCACCATCTGTTTACAGCTAATATAATACCCACAGACAGTGTTGTCAAAATATGGGAGCAAAAACACTAATTGTGAACCATGCAATTTCCTCCTCTCCTTTCTGTAAATAAGGGTAAAACTCACTTTGTTTCTTCAATCCTCCCAAACCCTGCCTCCACCACCACCCCTCAAAAAAAAAATCATACTGAAAATCCAGGCCCCATTCATCCCTCCTCACATCATCATGTTTCTGGCCATGCCCTCCACTAACATTCAGAGGCCAAGGAATCCTTCAGAATCAAAGTTTGGGCCCTGACTGTCAGAGCTGGGTGTAAAAGAGCAATTCTGGGGAGAAAAATTCTAGAGAAACCACCAACTTCATCACTTTGCCTAATGATAGAGAAATGGCTTATATTTATAAGTTGCCGTCGGCCAGACAGTGCCGGCTGGTGACCCCCAGGGGGAGAGCCTTCTCTGTGGCAGCACCTGCCCTCTGGAATGACCTGCCCCCTGAGATACGCACGATATCAGACCTCCGGACTTTTCGTCGGGCCCTGAAGACACACTTATTCCATCTAGCCGGGCTGACTTGATCCCATCCTCTCAGTTTTTAATTGAATTCGGTTTTAATTGGGTTGTTTTAAATTTTGGGCCAAAATTATTTAATTCTTTTTTAAATTTTATATGCTATGTTTTATCTCGGCTCTACACCGCCCTGAGTCCCGCAGGAGAAGGGCGGTATAGAAATAAAATAAAATAAACAAATAAATAAATAAATAAGTTAGTCTGTTCTGGAGGAAGAAGGGAAAGGCTTCCTTACCTTTGTTACTCAGTTGCTTGAGGATCTGTTTTGTTGGCTCTGTGATAAAAACAACATTTCCAAGATCAGTGCCTGAAGGAAGCTGTGTCAAGTACAGGAGCACCCAACACATTTCAGAGGATGAAAGCACCAGCACCAGCTTTAGCCCACAGCCTCAGCCTGCCCAAAAGACAACAACTTAAAGCACCCAAGTGGAGAACCACACCAGCTTCCTGCAGGTGGCAGGGAACATGCCTCTCAGACAGCACCATCAATTGCCTTCTCTAAGCCACCAACACTAAGTAAACCAAAGGGCAGGTGGTCAAAATGTTTTTGGATTTTAGAACTTTTAATGCAATATAAGGCTTATGTATTATGTGAGCATGTGCACATGCTCAAAAATAATAGCCTCAAGCAATTCAGTCCTACTCTGCAGTCAGAATACCTAATGCAAACAATGGTCTCTTCCCCACAAGCCTGGGTTCTGCCTGTGAGATGGGAAGGAAGTGGAAAATAACTGTCCTAACAGTGGCCTCTTTTCCGTATCCCAAAAATGAGGCTGCCAAAGTTGCTGTCCTCATATGAAGGCAGGGGTTGTGAGTTTTGCTGCTGCCGTGGGACAACAAGGAGCCTCTTTCCCCCATGGTCACAAGTTGGGATCTCTCCCTGTCTTCATGAGGTGATTCTAGTCTTCTCTGCCATGCTCCCTAGAAAGCCCCACGGCTGCCTCTAGCTCTAGCAAGCATTTAAGTTATTGGTAGGACCTTGTGGAGAACCTTCCACAAGATAAGCATGAGGGGAGGGGAGGGGAGGGGAGGGGAGAGGAGAGGAGAGGAGAGGAGAGGAGAGGAGGAGAGGGGTTCTATTGTCTCTGGCAGCCCAAAGTGCTATGTTCCTAGAGATACAAAACCTCACGGCCAGGTGGGAAAGATATTTGGGCAATGGGGCCATCAACTTCAGTATCCACATATAGGAAAGCTTATTCCATTTTCCAATGGGAAATACTATTTCCTGACAGATTGCTTTGATCCAGCTGCAACTGGTCCTTGGATGAGGGCTGGTTCCGATGTGGAAAACTACATAACCTCAAGCACCAGGACACAGGCCATCCCAGGATTAGGGCAAAGGAGTCCTGCTATGAAGGCTAGAACTTTGTGCACAACAATATCAAGCGTTACATTCTTAGCTGCTCAAAGCCCTGCTTGGCCTTTTTTGGGCTCCTGATATATTAAGAAACATTTCCTTTATATCTTTAAAAGTCAAAAAAACTAGAGTTGCTCATTAAAAAAAGGGAAATGAGTAAAATGGAATTCTCAGAGTGTTAGATTTTGTACAGTAGTCCTCGACTTATGACCACAATTGGGTCCATTATTTCCATTGCTAAGCAAGGAGATTGTGAGGTGAGTCAAACCCGATTTTATGACCTTTTTGCCATGGTCGTTAAGCAAATCACTGCAGTAAATTAATCATGTGGTTGTTAAATGAATCAGGCTTCCCCCTTTGACTTTGACTGCTGGAAGCCAGCTGGGAAGGTTGCAAATGGCCATCTCGCATGAACCAGGATGCTGCAACCATCGTAAACACCCAAACTTTGATTACATGCCCTTGGGCGATGCTGTGATGGTTGTAAGTATGAGGACCGGTCACAAGCCATGTTTTTCAGAGCTGTTGTAAATTTAATCAATAAATGAGTGGTTGTAAATCAAGGACTACCTGTATTAACCACATCCATTGTGGTGAAGTACTGGATGCATAACCCGTAAGAATTACCTTAACCTGCTGGTAGGGACTGAGAGGTATGTTCAGCCACAAACATGCACGCAAAACTACTCTAGAGAAATGCTGGACTCAATTTGGAAGCTTTCCAGCCCTTTGCTTCCCATTCCACAACACCTGGCTGCACACCCACTTGCCAAACTAAAGGGAGCTCGCACCCGATTTTCTGCGACTTTTAGAACCTGCCGCAGCTGTGGAGTTGTGGAGTCCATCTAAGAGCTTCTCAGCACTGGTTTTGCCACAGTACGGTTCTATGAATAGGACATAAGATGTTAGCACCAGTGGCTTTAGCTGAACTGTTCACCAAATTAGGAGGCGTTTTAAAGCTTGCCAAATACTCAACAAAGGAATGACAGCCCAGCTATGATTTCCTTCCTCTTGTGCAAGGCTTGTTTTACATCAAGCGAAAGTTATTAAAAAGGAACTCCCATTGATAGGAAGCTCACCAGAGAACAGTATGGAAAAGTAGAGTGCCATACATTTCTTTGCCAAAGAGTTTGGCTTTAATTTTTATCTATTACTGTTTTTTCATAGTAACAGAAAGGAGATCCGAGGATCCAATCCCTTCACTGGCTCCTCTATTGGCCATGTTGGTTGGCTTTGCAAAAAGAACCAGAATTCTGCTTAATCTGCCATTCTACCCCAGAAGCTCATAAACCTTTTGAAACTTTTGAAACCTTTTGAAACCTTTTGAAACGGGTAGATAATCAAGATTTTAACAGTTCTATCCACACATGAGGTTCTCATATGATTAGACGTGTGACAGAAAGAACGGATCTGCATCTTCTGGCTTCACCCCTGCTGGCTTATGAACCCTGTCATCTATATATTTGAAGATGAGTTCTCATATGGGGAGCCTGATGTAGATATGTGGGTGCCCCACATGCTTTAGAAATCTTCATGCTCAGGATGGGGTAGAACCAGAATCAACAGGAAGCATCTGCAAGTGTTTCAATAAAAATTCAACAACTACCACTGCAGCTGCCTAAACATGGAGACAAGGCAACTGGTTCCTTTGGACAAATAGGTTTGTAACTCTTAAAATAATCCATGTTAAGCCTCCTTTAATATTCTAGAACAGGGGTGTCAAACTCAATTTCATTGAGGGCTGCATCAGGGTTGTGTTTGACCTGGGGGGGGGCGTGGCCAGGGGGCGTGGCCAGCTCAACATCACTTTCGCTCCATTTTCGCTAGCAGAGGCACCGCGGGTTGGTCCTTCACTGTTTCCAGGGCAGCCCCACGGGCCAGATCTAAGCACCCCACAGGCCAGATCCGGCCCACAGGCCTTGAGTTTGACACTCCTGTTCTAGAAATATGTTAAATTAAAATTTGCTGGTCTAAATCATCTCATGATGGGAAAATTCTCCTCCCTCCCACACAGGTTGCTGAACCACAAGGGCTAGCTTCCTTCACCACTAGCACACCCGCCGAAGATTAAAATCTATACGTAAATCTTTTCACAGCATTAAAGAACTAAGCTTGACTCACACACCTCTTTGGGTAAGGTAAAGAGGCTGAGTAGGCCCAAATGGAATTTAGATACTCATGCATATTAAAACAGAAATTACAACATTCAAATGTCACTCGGTAAAACAGAACCAGCTTGGCCAGTCTTGTAGTAACTTGCAAGTTTTCCAATACACCAAACTCTGGAGCAATTCAGAAAGGAAACGGGCCCAGTAACTTAACTTAGCAGCTGCTTCGATCAAAAGGTGGGAGGCAAAACATGCTCATTTCCTGTAAGGGCCCTGTAAAGTTCCCTCAAAAATATGACGGTGAAAATACAACAACCACACTTATATAGTAAATGCTATCTAACTATTCTGTTCTATTGAATTTTGACAGAAACTTAGCCCAAATATTATGGAGGAATGAAAAGTATCTCATAAAAGAGGGAATTTTATATACACCCCCCTCCCCCGAAATGAGTTGGATCAGATTAAAGAGCACTAGCCCAGCCCAAACATTTCTAAAAAAATAAACATGATTTCTGAGGTAATTTGCTTGCTGGATCCCTCCATTTCTGGCTAGCTCAGTTATGGATATAACCTGCAGCTTCCCAGGTCAATTTACCACTTCCTAACATTTTCTGAATCACCATTTTCCCAAGGAAATTAATCCTGATTCACAAGTCTCCCATTTTTAGTTTTGCAGAACAAACCAATCAAAACAAGAATAAGGTATTTATTACTATTCCAATTCTTCACAATGTTGGAAAATGCAAGCTGCTAATTAACAGTCCTTGACTTTTAGAGATGGAAGAGAGGTTGTGCAGGGACCAGATTATCTTTCATCTCAGGTATTATGCAGACAATTATTGTGTCATCTCGATTTAAACGGTCTAATTTCAAACTGTAGTAAGAAATTCCTAGGCAGCACTAATAACAAAACAATCACATGATATGCTAAGGACTTCTGGCCATTCCAATTCCCAATGGACTGCAGGATCATCTTTTGAAGCTAATACAGGTAGTCCTCAACTTAGAACAGTTCATTTAGTGACCGTTCATAGTTACAACAGCACTGAAAAAAAGGGACGTGACTGTTTTTCCCACTTCCGACCATTACAGCATCCCGATTGGTCATATGATCAAAATCAGGATGCTTGGCAATTGACTCATATTTGTGACCGTTGCAGTGTCCCAGGGTCCCCTTTTGCAACCTTCTGACAAGCAAAGTCAATGGGGAAGCTAGATTCACTTAACAACCATGTTAGTAACTTAACAATGACAGTGATTCATTTAACAACTGTGGCAAGAAAGATCATAAAATGGGGCAAAACTCAATATCTGTCACGCTTAGCAACAGAAATTTTGGGCTGAATTGTGCTTGTAAATTGAGGATTACCTGTACAATGATGTATGACACATCACTGCTGGACAAGGCAAACCATACAGCTGACAGACCATAAAGATTTGTGGGCCATTCTCAAGCTCATGCCTGTTGCCACCACTGAAGATCAACTGCCTATGCAGATGTCTCTAGGTCTTTTCTCTGTTCTTTGGTCCGACATTTCATTTTACACCAAATCATTTTAGTCACCTAACCTCAACTGCTAAATCACCATGCTTCAGAAACTGAGGTGATAAGAGTGCTCTATCATCAAGGGAAAATTCCCACAGAATTTTCCCTTGTGTCCAAAATACACAAATCTATACTCCTCACCTGCTCTGTATGTGAGATCTGCCAGAGGTCATTGCATCTTGGCAAAAAAAATTCCCTGTCAGTTGCACTGAGCTCTAGAGCAAAATATAAAAAAGCCTAATAACTTCCCAAACCAAAACAGGCTGGAGGATCCACTAACAGAAATAAAAAGTTCTAAATGTAATCCTTGACATATGACTATAATGGAGCTTGCCCATTACAGCTGAATATTGTAATGCTCGTAAAACAGGTCAGTCGTGTGACTGACATAATTTTACAACATTTTTGCATCAGTCTTTAAGTAAATTAATGGTTTGCTATGGGCACAGTTTTGCCAAAACCCAGAAGTGATGGTTTTTCACAAAACCATCGTAAAATGCAGTTATGACCACAGGATGCTGCAAATGGTCATAAACATGGCTGCATTGCTGAGCACCCAAAGTTTGGTCATGTGACCACAGAGGGGACCTGACCACCAGAACTTTGAATCCAGGTCATAAATCCCCTTTTCAGTTTGGTTGCAACTTCAATGGTCGCTAAATCGAGGGCTACCTGTAATCTAAACCTTCCAGAGATCTTTGCACAGTTGTCTTCTCATCCAATTACTGCTGGGTCAGAGTTTCCGGCAACTGGGCCTGCAACATTCATTCCCTGGACATAGTAGCAACAATTTTTTCTCGACGTTATTGCTTATTCCCATACCCGAACCCCCATACAATTTACCTGATTGTCGACGTCCAGGCCGATTCTGTTTAAGGATTTCTTCAGGCTGTTGGCATGATAAGGATTTCTTCAAGTGCTCAGGACTGTATTTGAAGTGAGGAGGATCTGAAAGGAGTAGACGCATGTTTGTGAAAAGACATCAATTATGTCTGTTACATGTGATCAGAATGTAGAACACATGAGCGAATGGAAATCTACTACTGTCTGGGTCTGGGTCTTAAAAATACCACAAGCCCATGTTACCTCCTGATTTACAAGGATGTTCTATCCCCATCCCCACACACACACAAAAAGCCAGCCGGGGGTTAAAGAATTACTTGGCACACACAAGGTTCGTTATCAGGAACTTGGCAGCAATACGATAACCGTCTGCCAAGTGCTTTACTTCAAGAAGAGGGAGTTTTCCTCCACCAGTTAATCACCAACAAATACACACAGTTTTCAAAACAGTCCAGCTCAAACAGAAACCTTCAGCAGATTCAGGCGCTGTACAAAGTAACTAGCCAGAAGTTAGCTTTGTCCGTCACAGAGTCTAAATGGCCACCACACTCTCTTATATAGCCTGTGGGATGTGGTCCAGTGACTCAGCTTAATCCCTGGCACGCCTCCTCATCTGCTGCAAACGTTTATCTCGCCTTCGTTGGCGTGGATCCAGGAACGACTTATCACCCACATCGCTGTCATCGGAGACACCTGGCTCCTGGTCAATCTCCTCTCCCTCGGCAGACACCTGAGGCATTGCCAGAGAGGAGGGGCCTGGAGAGGGAGGCCTGGCCGGCTCCTCTCCTTCATGTTTGGAGCCTTCTTCCTCTGATAAAATGGGCTTGGGGATCGGAGCCACAACAAAGAACAAGCACCATTTCACTCTTAATCCACTTAATATTGAATCATACAAAGAAGCCAAGACAGTGACAAAGATATTAAATTACAGGAGGCAGAACTTGGAATAACTATAAGGGATGATGGATCCACATTCTGTTTATTATTGCTTTTTACATCCTGTAAAATTCCCCCAAATTGATGAAATAATCTAACCCTTAATACTGAACTTAACCTCTCCAGATGGGTTGTTATAATGTATTTATTGACTGCTGATGCAGTGGACAGGAAGAATGAAACAGGAAACAGACATCTGAGACAAGAAGAGGGGAAACTTACAGAATGAGTCCATTTCCAAGATGGCTTCTTTGGCCTGAAGAAAAGGCAGAATTGCTTTAGTGGTTGACATTCACAAATAAAGAAACAAATCTATGATACTGAGATAAGGATATGAAAGCAGATATTTCTCTCCACTTAATTTTTGTGTGCAAAAAACACAAGAACAAATTCCTCTGCTCCAGGCATTAACCTTTAATGTAGTTGGATACAAATTGTCAATCTCAGCATAAGCACCAATATCCACACAGATATTCCCCATCCATTTTAGAAGAATTCTTATGTTTAGAAATTATCTTTAGGCTTTCAAAGATATGTAAAGAGGGTGAATGTACACTAAAAGGATTCAGGAAAAAAATACACAGGATGACCAAAATGTCTCCAGGCGGATTGGAAAAGGCTCATTTTCAGCTCCCAACAGCCCCAGCCAGCATGGCCAATGATTTCATTAGATGCTATTTTGTTTGTCAAATTTAGGTATCACCCTTCTCACTCACTACTTCCCTCCTCCACCCACAAATTCTGATAAAATCTATCTGAGAATATGCATAGAGTCCTCCAGGCCATCAGACTATAAATCCCAAGGGCCAGGTAGGCTAGGGACAATGGGAGCTCTAGTGCAGAACACTTAGGGAACATACTTTAGAGAATGGCCAAAGAAAATTTCTGACATCTATTCTGCAAGACCATTAGGGCAAAGGGAAAACAATACCCACTCACTTTCTGAGGGATTATGGCATGGTGATTTTCTAAGATCAGGCGCTTGAGGTGGTGAGTCCAAACCCGCTTCTCGTCCCCTGATTTGGCCTGGTAACAAAAGTACACTCCATGAGTTTGAAAGGCAGTTGTGCACATGTGATCCTACCAAAGCTCAGCCTTCTGAATCTTCCTATTCTTTGCTGTTATTGCTTAAAGCGTACCTTCTTTCTATATCTGCTCATTATTTCCAACCCTACCTTCTCCTGCATTTAATAATTCAAATTTCATTCCTATGGATGGATTATCTCAATGTGCTCTTATCATCTGATGCTGCACCCCAACCCTAAGCTGGTTTTATTGCTTTACCTTACACCTTCTTCTGTCTGATCCCTGTATTTGCCACACAGAAGCTCATAACGACTTATTTTTCTCAGTCTTTCTGCTGGTTTTCCCAATTCCCTCACTTCTGCCAGCATCGCTGCAAGCAGATTGTCCAGCCTGAGCTTCAAACCCATCACCTTCACCAACCACCGTCCACACACTAATAATGTCAACAGGTCTTCATCTCACCTGAATGTTATACTGCTGCTTGTTATGCTTGTAGTGGGTGACAGTGAAGCAAAGTGAATCCCGTGTGCTCTCAATCAGCATCAAAGACGAACACTGCAGGCCAGATAAGAGATGTCACTTCAGCCACAGCAATTAATGGCCATCCTCCACTGAATATCTCTTAAAAGGGACACTAAGGCCATCTTCATTTTATTGGACCAAAAAAGTGCATGACCAGGTTTACTTTGTACATATTTTTAAAAAGCTGTTGTGGCTGTTATGTCCCTTTAGAATGGGATGGTATTGTTAGTGCAGAAAAAGAAAGGGAGATCCTTTAGCTCAAAAGAGAGTTTACACTAGGGCTGGGAACAGTCTCTGCACTATATTTAAGCAGTTTGTACATAAGCCAACAACACTCAAACAAGGGCTGGAGAGGGGTATTTTTGGCTAGGAGGAAATAACAATAACATACTTAACTAGTTTAATAATTAAATTAACAGTTCTAATAATAATATTAATCTAGAACAGTTATTATCTTTAACTTTGCCTTCACCATCTCTACAATAATGCAAATAAGACTAAAGGGACACACACACATACTGGTATGTATATGTATCTGCACTGTATATGTATATATACATGTGTGTGTGTGTGTGTGTACATGTACATGTACATGTACCCAGAAGTGGTTGCTGGATTGATCCACCTGCCCCCTCTTGTTCTCTGCTGTCTACCCATCCATCTTTCTTGCATTGTTGTATCCTCGATGTGTTATTTTTCATTGTTTATTTCATTGTTCTATTATCTTACTTTTGTTTACACTCTTTTCATTTCTTCCTTTTCATTATTGTAAACTACCTAGAGTAGGCTCACAGTGAAATAGGCGTCAAATAACAAATACATATCATTGTTTTCAAGGACAACTAGTTTTTAAGAAGTTCCTTTCAAGCTAGTATGAGTTTTGAAAAGCCTCTTTTTTACGCTTCTGGCTTTTTAGATGGGGAAAGGGCTGCATGTGACGAAAAGGCAGCATTGGAGGGTGGAAATAAAAAACATCCAGGCAGAGGTGTTGGTCTTGTGGGCCTCTACAGATCATTATAAATTCACATCAACTTCAGCTGTCAGAAAGAAAATTTTAGTCAACAAAGAACGTCAGCCTTTTCATCTCTTCTTGCTTCTATCATCTCATCTTGATGGCCAAATTATCAAATTCTCAATCTCGTTTTAAAAGAACAGAACAAACAAATAGCAAGCAAACACCTATTCCTAATAGGCAAAAGAGAAGCAGAAAGGATGCCCCACTTACTGGAATGTGACTCTTGCATATGTAGTGATCACCCCGCTTCTTAGTTATCAGCAAGATCTTGTCCAAAAGGAAGAATGTTCTCTCGTTCCTGACACGATGTACCCGGAATGTGCCCTCTAGGACTAGCTCACCATAAGTTGTCAGGTCTGGTCCCTTCCAGTTGATAAGTAAGGACTGGATTTCCTGCAAAGTCAAGGGAAAGATTGATGTTTTTATTTCTTAGCCCTCCAGCACCCTGGTGATTTTCCAGATGTGCGGGGAAGAGCGGTCATAGGAATTAAGTCCAGAGACTTCCGGGTTGGCGTCACGGTGAGACAGTCTGGGAAATAGCGGGCTCTGATGAGCGCCACAAAAACCCCAGCTGCCAAACCGCCGCCAATCGGTCGGAACCATCCTGCAGGAATGGGGGAAAAGAAGGGGGAACCTCAGACGACCAAGAGGAACAGGCAAGTTCCTCGGAGGTCAGAGGGAATCCTCTGTGAGTCGGCGGTGGGGGGCGGCAGCCATGGTGGCTGCCACGAAGCTGGGACAACCTGGCTAAGAGATGTGCAGGAGGAGAGTAGATTGAAACAGAGCATTTTGAAGCCGGGTAAGTGACAACCAACCCAGGCTTGCAACAACGGTTAGAGCAATATTATTAACTATAAGACCCCTAGCCTTAAAATAGCAGCTGAACAAAAAGGGGTTATGGAAAGTTTAAAATGTAATTCTAAAGAGACAAAGACCCGATAAACAACTAACTCTAGAACAGAAGTAATGGAATTAAATATCGAGACATGGTGAAAAGACTGGATATTTTAAAACTGGAATTGGATTTTTTTTAAAAAAAAGAAGATGATTTGATACTTTTAAAATCAATGGAGGAAAAGTAACCAATTGGACTGTAATATAATTGTAACAAAATGGATACTTGCATGACTAATGGAAAATGTGGATTGTAGAGGGACACCTTCTGGTCTAAAAAGGAACATTGTAACTCATTTTTGTTATGGAAAATTTTGAACTTTACAGATAACAGTCGTGGGATTTTGTGTAGGAGGTTTTTTTTCTTCTCGTCTGCAGGCAGCTTGACTTTGATGAAAAGAAAAGGAAACTACAATGGAACTCCTATAATTGGAATAATAACAATTTAAAAAATTGGTGCAGGAACAAAAGAAGGAAGCGCAGGCTCAAGAGAAGGGAACTTGATGCATTTTATCTGGATTAAAAATAAGAAAAAGATTTAATATGACATATGGAGGACAAAATTTGAAGACTTTGAAAATGGAAGGAAATATATATTAACAGGCGAGAAACTGAAGAAATGATAGACACGGCTGGAAAAAGAAAAAAGAAGAATTAAAACAATGTGATTAAAAATGAAAAATGTATAAGTGGTGGTAATAATAAAAAGGAGGTTCTTATAAGATAATTATGGATGAAATATATACAAAGTTAAGCTTTAAGCAAGAACCATGTCTCAATGTTAAATGGTCATAAAAAAGGATAGTGATAAAAATGATTAACTGAAATAAGCAATGTATAGATGGATGGAAACAACAAAGGATGCTGGGATTAATAGTAAAGCTAACCATGATTATGCTGTGATCAACAGCCAAAAAATAAAAATAAATATGATGTGTTTAACAGCCAAAAAATAAAAAAGCTATGCTGTGTCCAACAGCCAAAAAACAAAAATGATTATGCTGTGTTTAACAGCCAAAAAACAAAAATGATTATGTTGGGTAGGACAACAAAACAAAGAGGATTTTGCTGGGAATAACAGCACAAATGGAATGATTATGTTGGGTTTAACAACAAAGATAAAGATGTTAGGTTTAATAGTAAAAATAAAATGACTATGCTGGGATTAACAGCCAAAAATAAAAATTATTATGCTGGGTAGGACAGCAAAAATAGGGAGAAATATGTTGAGAATAACAGTAAAAATGAAATGTATAAATTGGATTTAACAACAGAAATAAAGACAATAATGATGAGTTTAACAGTAAAATAAAATGATTATGTTGTAAAGTAATGAAGATGATTAAAATGGAGTAATAGTTAAAATATTTTTTAAATGTTTACAATAATTGTAATGATTTATATTGTTAAAATATATCCATCTAAGCAAAAAGGAAGAGAAAAATGGAATGACATTTGGTTAGGATCTAAGATTTAAGTAACGGGTTTTTGAGATAATGGCATAATTGATAGAATTTAGAGAAATAACTGTATAAAATATTAAGTTGTGTTAATTGGAAGTTAAGAATTGTTAGTGATTTGTACTAATTTGTGACCGGATCAATGCTTCGTTTTGGAAAAGATGTGTTTTATGTTTGTGTTTTAAAAAATAAAAAAAACTTTTTTCAAAAAAAAAAAAAGGAATTAAGTCCAGAACAACTGGAGGATAGCAGATTGGAAAAGCTTGCAAATCTATCAAGAGTCATTTGAAGGAACTCAAAGTAAATATTTGTTTTTTTTTATGTATTTTGAATTAAAGAAGAATAAAGAAAAGTAAATAAGAGGAAAAAATATAAGGAAAAAAGAAAAGGAAATGGAAAATTCTAAAGAAATAACTTCTGATTTTCTTGGCAGTAGTTATAGATACATTTGTACTTTTGCTTTTTCTCACTAAGGTTACATCATTCTAAGGTTACATCATATCATGAATATTTGAGTTTCTTTAGAACTGTGTAAGGAAATATCACCTGAATTTTCCGAGGGATGAACATACTTGACCCTACTACACTGAAACTACTACAACTACCTATCATCTATGTTTCAGATTGAAAGCAGATCAGGCTCAGGATACTCCTTTCTAAATACCTGCAGCCGCACGGCATGTTCATGCTTCCGCTTCATGTCATTGATGTACCAAGCTACACAAGTCATGGTGGCAATTGCCTCTTCCACCACTTCATAGCCATCTCCTTCTCTGTCAAAGTGCTTTGCTATCTCCTAGGAGAAAAACATACTCAAAAAGTTAGCATGGAGAATTATGGACTTCTGTGAAGAACTTTCAATAGATATTTATTAATTGTATAGAAAACAAATCAACCCCAGTGACCAGTGGGGTAACTGATATTCAACCAGATTGCCTTCATGTCTGGAAAACAGGTAAGGAAAATGTCTGGAAAATTTGAATACATACCATTCTAAGTAGGTTCACATAAGTTTGATACCAATGAGAAGTCAATCCTTTTTTTATATTCTTTCTATGACCATATCTTTATATAATCTCTCTCTCTCTTTTGGTGCCTTTGAGTCAGCATTGACTCCTGATGACTATCTGGACAAGTCACTACAGTTTTCTTAGCAAGAGTTCAGAAGTGGTTCATCATTGCTTGCTTCCTAGGGCTCAGAGTGTGTGACTGGCCCAAGGTTTTCATTTCTAGCTTGGTGCCTTAATCACTCTATCATACTGGCTCTCTTCAAGGTGATTTGTAAGAATATAAATAAGATAGGGTAGGGTAGGGTAGGGTAGGGTAGGATAATTACAAATCAACTTAAAAAAAATATTACAGGTCCATCATTAGCACCAAAAATTCTTTGGTAGCTGATGATCTTGACTGCTTTGCAAAAGCAGGTGCACTTGCCTGCCATGCTTTTAATTGCATGGGATAGCAGTCCTTCTCAAGATGAACTCACAAGGCCAGAGAAAAGAGTCAATCCTGTAAATGATGGCCCGTGCAGAGCTTTTTAGGTTAAAATCAGCATCTTGATTTGAGCTCACAAAGCTACTGGTAGGCAGAAATGTTATCAGAAAATTGATATTACACAATTAAACCCATTTTTCTCTGTAGCAGCTGGTCAAGGGCAGTTTGGATCAAATGCATCTTTCAATTTTCAAGTCTCATGTAAAGCATGTTCCAGAATTCCAATCAAGAGGCAATGGGGGTATGAATCACAGCTCTCTCTATTGTATAAATTAATTCTACATATCCCCATGTACGTACCACATCAACCAAGACTTTTTTAAGGGAGAAATGGCCTTTCCTGGAACAAGGTACTGTAGAGGCAGCTGTTATTATTTTAGGAAAAATGAGCAGACTGCATTTCACAATTTTTTTAAAAAAAAAAAAGTTAAAACAGATTCCAAAGCTGCAGAATCAGATAACGTAAGCAACCTGTTGTGAAAGTCTGTGTTACCTGTAGAAGCAGATGATATTTGAGAATGCGCTGGACAGGCTTGAGAAGGTAGGAGCCAAGGGGCAAGGAGTGCCGGATTTGTTCCTGCCTCTCCCGAAAGAATTTGGCCAGTTGTTTGTTCCTCATACATTCAGTCAGAGCTGCCACAGAGCTGGAAATTAAAGCCGATACACAATGAATGGCATCAAAGAAGACAATTGCCTGTATTCTCTGAGGGATGCAATGACAGATCTGCTCAAAGTAGAAAGTAAAGGACTGCAATAAGGGGCTAAAACAATGAGTCAGAAGATGACCAGTGGCAGCCGAATTATATCTTCTTATTGTCCCCTTAATGTCTCCTTCTCTTGTATGTGTATTTGCCTGGGATCACACAGCTGCCACACAAGCCCACAAAAAGCACCGCTTCTTGGATCAACATCTGCACATTGCTACAAATTTACAAAATCAACCATTCCTGCAAAGTTTTTACAGAAAGAATCTGGAACCACTTCTGGCCAGATCTAACAATTATTAACAAGTCCCTGTGCATGTTCAGTGCCACCTAATTATAAAGTCTTGGGGTAATCTTTTGTAACTGAGCAGAATTAATTTTCAGCTCAGCTGCTGCTTGAGAGAAAATGCTACAAAGACAGTATTCCCACTGGAGCTGCAGGGTTGGCATTTTCCCACTGGGGGGAATTCCTACCTCAACTGACTTTTACGTCACAACACTTGAGTGCTATTTCCTTGTTCTTTCCAGTACAACTGGAAATGATGCTGCTGTTTCCATACTGAGTGGCTGTGTTAACCCTTCACCACAAAACAAGCATGGTAGGTCAAGGATGAGGACTGGGCTGTTGATGGTGTGTCTGGTTTTGCACTCCCTCACTGATCAGTCAAAATATGTGCCGGACAATTTGCAAGGTTTCTCAGCACTGAAATACTTCTGCGATGATCCAAGTATGATTCCGAGTATTTATGGGAAAGAGTGGTTATGTAGAAATGCCAAATGAGTCAGCAGCTGAAGGATGAGGGTTGTACAGGTAGTCCTCAACTACCTGTACAACTAATTACTTAGCAGTCCTCACTTAGTGCCTCTGGGCACTATCATGTGATCTTGCCCAAAGATGTGGGTGCATTCCCTAAACCAATTGCCCATAATCTCAGGAATTTAGATAAAATAGCTGAACTTAATTCTACCATATTTTTCGGATTATAAGACGCACCAGAGTATAAGACACAGCTTAGTTTTTGGGGAGGAAAATAGGGGAAAAAAATTTGCCTACCAGGTATTCATCTGGCTAGCATCCTTAGTCTAGTCAGCTTCAGCACATTAGTTTGCTGGTTTTTTATCCCCTGCTTGGGGATAAAAAACAGCTTCTAAGGCACATCTGAGAGGAAGCAGCAATGGGAAAAGCAGGCAAAGCATGGGTGAGATAGCTTCACTTGGCTAGCGCCTAGTTAGGGCTGAAAAAAAGCTTCTAAAGAACAGCTGAGAGTCGTTAGCACCTCGTTAGGGCTGAAAAAAAGCTTCCAGCTACATTCCCACACATCCAAATTTTCAGCCCCTTTTAGGGGGGAAAAGGTACGTCTTATACTCTGAAAAATACGGTAATTTATTCTAGAGGAGCAATCAAGGTGCCTGTTGAGACTGCATTGCTGACTCTCAAAACAAGCTGGAAAATTTAGCTCTAAGATTTGAGACATCTTGTCACTGATTATGAATTAAATATACTTGCACAATATATCTTTGTCCTATATGCGAACTATTCTTAGCATACACTGTGATGACCCAGAAGCATTTTACAACGTATGTAAAAAGATTCCGTTAATAGGGAGAACGAGCTGTCCCTGTTCTCACGAAATCACGTCCCCTTTTTGCATTGCAAAGGACACTCACTTTGGATAGTTATTGCAGTATTGAGTATAGATGTTGAAGTCTTGGCTCTGTTGGGGGAAGAGAAGAAAGATCCGTAAGACATGTTCAATTCATCCTGTTCCCTAATGTCAACCATTCTGCAAATGTCTCTGCCAGATGTCCACTACAGATACCAGCACCAACCTCACTGGGTATGTTTGGGGGATAACTCCTGGACTAGCACTGATGACGTTACCTAGTTTGGGTAATGAAACATTTGCAAGAAAACAAACAAGCTCAGGGAGCATCAAGGATGCTAACCCCTGTTCTTTTTTTTATATTATTTATTTAGACTTCTATACCGCTTCATAGTGCTTTACAGCCCTCTCTAAGCGGTTTACAAAGTTAGCATATAGGATATTGCATATTAGCATATTGCATTAGCATATTGCCCCTAACAATCTGGGTCCTTATTTTACTCACCTCGGAAGGATGGAAAGCTGAGTCAACCCTGAGCCGGTGAGATTTGATCTGCTGATCTGCTGAACTAGCAGTCAGCTGAAGTAGCTGAAGTAGTGCACTCTAACCATTGCGTCACCTCGGCTCTGTTGTCTTTCATGCACAGCTAGGCAAAATTTTCAGCCCCCAGGCTGCCACTAATTCCCTCACCCAGCACAGCAGAGTGGCCAATCTTGGCTTTTAGTGATTTTAAGAAAGCCTCTTAAGAAAGAGAAAGAAGGTGTTTCACTTCTGAAAGATTTGGTGCTCCCACCCCCATCTTTCCCTTCCTATTTCTTAGCCAAAAATCTTGTTCCTGAAATGGAGCTGTGATGCCATCTCTTCCCAGTGGTTTTATAACAGGCTGCTTCACGGCCTGTGGACTATCTACTTCTGCTTTAATGGAAGCAACCCAGTGAAGGTGACAAAGCATTCACTCAGAGAAGGGTGTGCCGAACCACCCAATTATGCACCCAATTATGAACAATCAGAGATGAGCATAAAGCAACATCGGTTTTATCTGCTTACCCTGTGTACAAAACACTGCGCAACGGCAACAGGATCATTGTGGCAACTATCCAGTTCTTGCAGTAGTTCACTGCATAGAAATTGAAACAGAAAGAATAATTTATCAGTCAACTCAGGATAAAAAAAATAATAACGATAGAAACTGAAAACACACCCTCTCTTATCCACAGAGCAAACAGGGACATGCTGGAGACAAACTTCAAAGCAACCTTTAATACACTGCAGTTTCAGAATTAAATGCAGAGCAGCAGGCCATGCAATGGGTTTGGGCCCAGTACCCACCTGTATAGGGGAAGCCTGTCCACCACTGTCAAAGGAACCAAAAACACAAGGCAGATGTTATATAGAAAGAGGGGGCACGCACTAGCTGAACAACCAACTGGTTCTCACTCAGCAGCCACCTATACAGTCATACCTGTCAACATTAATACATTTGGGATCCTAAACTAAGAATACTGTATTTCTCCAATGTACTAAGTTTCTCATAGATACAAAGTAATGAGGCAATTTCTGCCCCAGAGACTTACAAGTTTAAGAAGATAACTAAAACACAGGAGAGGAAGCAGATTTGCAAAGTTGGCATGGAACACCCAGCAGCAAATTGGACTCAATCTGCCCCTTGCTCCTTCGATTCCTTATAGTTTACTCACAGAAAGAAGACTGTTACTTCTCTGCTCTATGTGTTTCTAGCCAATCATGGTAGGAAGATGCTGTTTGCTGCTAAACTATTCTCTTCACTATAGTAAGGCTGTTTGAACAAGCCCCGGGTTCACGCATAATACCAAGCCATGTTTTCAGGTTCACCATTATATGCAAAATATACCATGAGTACAAAACTCTGTAGTAGCCTAATATACAAAACCAAACGAAACTGATTGACTCCTGTGTGTGGGTGTGAGTGGAACAACTAGCTTGGCTTTTACTTTAAAAAAAACAAAATAAAAGGAGATGCCATCTCTCTTTGCGTGGATTTATCACATTACTCTCCAATATTTTATCCAGAATCATAACAGCCTGATCACCCAAGAAAACTTAAGATTGTAATAAGGATAAAAGGGAGAAGGCAGTTTTTCAGGTAATCTGATTCCAAGACATTTAAAGCCTTAATTCATACTGGGAATAAAACATATTTTTAAAAGATCATAATAAAATTCATAGCTATGTGGACAAAACAAATTAGGGAAGGGACAGCAAATATAAATACATCTCCTGTAGGACAAGGACTTGGACATGTTGACAAGCCTAAGCCTAGACCTCGACACAGTCATGAACAAGCACTGGGTTTAGGGTGCCCTTGTTTGGTCAATCAAAAGGGGAAATCATTTTCCTTCCTAGGTCCTTGATTTTTTAAAAAATCTGGTGGAAAGTGAGAAACATAAATCAGTGACAGCAAGGACTAGCTGAAGGCAATAACTGTTGCATCACCCAAGGCTGTCTTAGTTGGATGGGTTGAAGGGTGGTACAGAGCTTTACAGGAATAGCATTTTTCCTGCCATGCTTTCTATTTCAGAGAGGACCGAACCTTTATAGGGGAACTGTGTAAAGTGAGCAACAATTGAAACGACAGGGAAGCTTCTAAGGACTATGTGTTATTACTCACCTGTTCAGCTCGTAGATGTCTTCAATGTTCCCAAAGAGTGCGCTGACTTGTTCTGGCCGCAACAACAGCTCCTGAGTGTCTATGATCTTCCCCAAGTAATTCTGCCAAGTCACATTATGCCATGAGCATCACCATGAAGCAAGAAAACAGGGCAGACCACCACCATGAGTTCTAACCCAGTATTGTGGGAGTTGTGCCACAACTCTATCAGGTCCCCTAATCAGTGCTCTGAGGGGAGAATTTATTTTCCCTTGACCATAGCTCCCATTGGACAATTTTTCATGTTTGCACTCTGCCCAGACACTACCCATCAAGAAGCCATTTCCTTTTTTATAGAGTATTCCTGATACCAGATTAGCAGAAAAATCACTGGGGCAACTTTAGGTAAGTCACGAGGATTCTCTGACCCACAATGCATCACTTTCACATCATCTGACATGACAGGCAAAAGGTCTTCCATGAAACTGTGTGGGGAAAATGGCCAAGATACTATATTCCTATGTGGAAAGGGGGCAGGGAAATCCGTGGCTGATAGGAAGGCATAAAGGTACTACCCAAACACATAGTGGGAGCACCTTTAAAATGAAATGAAAGCTGTGTGAAGGTCTGCAGCTCTTTCCAGCTTCCAGGCTAGACGATCAGGTTCCCTCTTGGTTAGAGGAAAACTTCAGTGGCAAAATTAGATGAAGGGAGGACCTTAAGGCATCTAAGGTGTAGCAGTAAAGTGATATAAAGAGCCCGACAGGCGCGTCAATCACACTAACCTCTATGATGTTTCGTAAATCCTGCACATACATGCGTTCGGATTCCACAATCTCCAAGAGAACCCGCTCTAGATAACTTAGTTTGGAATGAGAGGCAGCAGCAGAAAGGGAAGGGCTCCTCAGGCCTCTCCAGGGCCCTGAGGAGGCATTGTTGTTGGCATTGTTCAGCACTCCAGTCTTCAAGAGCGAAGAAGCATCCGAAGGAGTTTGCGCCATGTTCTTCCAGTCATCCAAAATATGGGGAGCATTGATTAAAGTTTCAGGCAACTGCCTCATTGAATATTCGGAGACACTCATGCTCAGGGCAATAGAGATTGCGACTCCCTCATCTCTGCCAGAATATGGGGCATCCAAGAACCTGGAGTTTTCTGAGGAAAGAAAAAGCTTATTTTAAAACTGGGTAATGTTCCTCTGTACCTCAAGATGCAGTAGTTATACAGGTAGTCCTCGACTAACAACAGTTCATTTAGTGACCATTCAAGGTTCAACGACACTGAAAAAAGTGACTTATGACCATTGGTGGGATCCTCCCGGTTTAACAACCAGTTCGGAGATCGTGTGCTTCGCTGCGCACGTGTGCACAGTTTAAAGAAATCTTCACTTCCGCGTTTCTTCAGAGGAGAAACACAGCTGAGGCATGGCAACCTGCCATGGAAGGGAATGGAGATTTTGCAGTATCCTTCCCCTGCCATGCCCATCAAGCCACGCCACACCCACCAAGTCAGAACCAGTAGTAAAAAAATTTGGATTTCACCACTGGTTCTCCGTCTACATCAGAGGCATCAGTAAACACTAGGCTAATGGGAAAAAAGGAGGTTGCCTCCTCTGCTGGCTTCCTACTCAGACAGAGACCCTAAGAGTGCCTGAAACTGCTATTGTCATATACATAAGAAATACTAGTTACAGTCTGAATCATCACACATAATTTAATGATCTAGCCTACTGTTAAAAGATGGCTGCACATGGAAAGATACATGTCTAATTTCTTGAGACCATTTATTAAATAATTCTTTCTCTTATTTCCATCTGACCCAGGGCAAAAAAAAAGAAAAAAAGATACAAATCTATCTGAACAATACCCAGAGGTATTAAAACATGTTTACCATCACATATGCTGCCTTTGTTAAAATGAAAATTATTGAAATGGGTTGGTCTTTGATCATAAATCTCACATGAAGCAGCAGTGAGGGACAGAATTGTCAACACAGTCTCAGAACCAAAAAGTGAGCCACTAATGAAACCTACTTGGAGTCTTTTCTGATCCCAATCCCGTTAACATTTCCTTTATCAGACATCTGCTGGATTACAACTCCCCCATCTTCAGCCAGTCTGGAAAAAGCTCACCGTCTTAAATGGAACTCAGCATTTCACAACCCAAACACATTTTCTCCACAGTACTGGTACATGTCCTGCCATGCCGCATGCTCTCCACCAAACCCTTAAGAGGTTTAGCAGGCAGGCAAACAAGTGGCAACAGGTCTATGTTGTGTAGGAACCATATACAATCAGCTGCAATTACTTTCATCTCTCCCTCTCCCTCTCCCTCCCTTCCTCCCTCTCCCTCCAGTTTCCTTCCCATTTCCACAAGAAGATTTTCTCTGCCTCAAAATCAACATCTCAAAATTCTTCTGGGCCTTTGTTTGAAAATTACTTTGCTTTCTTACAGAAAAACCCATCACATCCTCACCAAACATTGGAAGGCTCTCCAGAGTATTCGTTTCTTCCCGGATCAGCATCATTTCCTCATCTCAGCCAGACACTGTAGATGGTAAATGAAGCATGGAGCAACCTGTGAATCCTGAATAGCCAATGAAAGTGTGAAGCCTTTTGATGTCACTTCTCCAAACCACTCCTCTAGATAAACACCACACCTCAAAACTGGCATACTATTCCCCACTAAGGACTTTGACCAAGACACACACTTCCTCCTCCTTTCCCTACACACATCGGAAGATAAAAAGGCTTGGCTGTTCTGGTCGAAAATACCCAGAACTACTATCATGTGTTGCCAAGCCATTTAAGTAGCACTTACACTAACTATGGATTTCCTCCATCTTTCAAGTGGCCTAGGAGCCATGCGTATATGTGAATGAAGCCATTTATCACAAACAAAATCCCAAGTGACTCCTCAGGAACTACTCTTTGAAGATGGTTGTTTTCCAAAGTCTCCTAAAATTGAAGTGTATATGCTCCACACTTATCTTAATTACTCATTTTGACTTAGCCAAAAAGAGACTGCAAATAAATCAAATATTTGCTACTAAATGTCACAAGATAAACAAAATAATGTTTCAATCTGTTTATGAAACATCATAAAATGAAACAGAGTGAAAGCTTTTGCTCATCACCACTGATAACAAGAATGTCTAAAAAGTCTATTCATTTACTAACTAGAGACCCAACTGAAAAAGGATGCCTTTCTCTAAACAGAAAAAGACCATGTTATCTTGATTTTTGTTTGTTTCTTTAACAAACAATTCTCAAAGCTTGCTTGATTTCCCATTGTTCCACAATGTGCGAATCTGCACAAATATTGCATAAATCTCTTGTCCTAATCACTGTGTCTGGAAAAATTCACACACAGGTTACTTACTGGCAAGGAAAGAATTTCACACACAATTAGAAGCAGCTAAGATTCTTGTGCATATGTCTAAAGCAGGCTTTATATTATAGGCTTATATATTATCCTTTGGACTGCCACACCCAGAATTACCAAGACTAATTGCAACAAACCTGAAGGATACCAGGGATAGGGAAAGTTGTTTCTGAAGTAAAGAGAAAAATAGGCAAACATGTTTGCATGCAGGTGTGTGACATGCTGGGACACTATTGGGGTGAATTTGAACTTGATGGAACTTACTAACTTCCAAATTCAGTATTACACAATTTTAATCGTTAAGCCCAACTTCTTAGCCTAATATGCAGCATGCCCTCTGTGTCAAAAATGCCTCTTAGGTAAATTTGATTCACACTAAAAATTGGGGTTATACTGGTTTTCATTGGATCTGGTTAGGAGTAGTTGGGTCCTTCCTTCCAAAAAGCAAGCAAGAATTGGTCTAATGCAGTGATGGCTAACCTTTTTGCCATCGCATGCCAAAAGCGGGGGGAGTGCGGTGGGATCACACGCACGTGTGCCCACATCCATAATTCTATGCACCCCCCCTGTGCTCCCCCCCACTTTGGCACGTGATGGCACGGTGGGCACGGTAGGCCCATTTTTTGCTCTCCCCAGGCTCCAGAACCTTTCTAGGAGCCTGGGGAAGAGCAAAAATGGCCTTCCCCCCCCGAGGCCCTCCGGAGGCCAGAAACAGTGTGTTTCCTGATTTCTGGTGGCCCCAGAAGGCCCGAAAACCAGCTGGCTGGCGCACGCATACGTGCCGGAGCTGAGCTCACGTGCCCACCAATACGGCTCCGCGTGCCACCTGTGGCACCCGTGCCATAGGTTCGCCATCACGGGTCTAATGCATCAGGCTAGAAAATCCTGAATTCAAGTCCCACCTTCACCATGAAAGTCAGATGGATGATTTTGGGCAGTCACTTACTCTCAGCCCAACCTTTCACATGTTTGTTGTTGTGGGGAAAACAGAAGGAGGAAGATGTGTTGGATATGCTCATCGCCTTGAGTTATTTGTAAACAAAATAAAGATAGGAAATGAATGAATGAATGAATGAATGAATGAATGAATGAATGAATCCATCCATCCATCCATCCATCCATCCATCCATCCATCCTGCTACCAAGAAGAAATGTGTATTCACATATGCAAGGCATAAATATAACAAGATTGATTCTAACAGTGCTGTACAAATTCTAGCACAATAGTCAGAAACCCTAAAACTTGATGCTGCCAGGAAAAACAACAACCAGCCAGAGCAGCACAAGGTAAGATAGAAAAACAGATGAGATGGTGGTGCAGACTCTTGGTGGCAGCAAAAAAAGGGAACTGCTTCTGAACAAGTTTGGCAGGGCTTCCCCATTAAGGCTTTGTTTGCTGAGGAGCAAGGATGATTTGCCATAAAGCTGGCAGTGAGCTAACTGAGAGAGGAAGTATGTCCGGCAGACTAAGCAGAAACATGTAGCCACTAAGTGAGAAAAATAGAATTCAATACTCTATCAATCTATCATGGCTGCCGAAAGTGAAAGGATTGGGTGAAAGGAGCCTTGAGATAATTAGGGCATTAAAAGATATGTAGGGAAGGAAGGAACTGCCTTTTCTGAATGTAGGATTTACTTTTGCCAAGCTCTACCCTTTGAATCGTTGAATTACCTTGAACCTCTGTAAACTCTTCAACATGATCAAAGAAAGCAGAGGTTGCACATTTGTCTGCATGCATCTTTTCAATAGCACATGGATTACCAGTCACAAAGTTAGGTAAGGCCAGGATAAACGCTGAATAGAATTTAATTAACTTCTAAGGTTGAAATTAATTTAACATGATAATTCACTGTGTATTAGTAATTTTCCCATTCAATTAAACATTACAATTCAACAGGAACTTTTAGAGGCATTCTGGAGCAAGCAATGGTTTTGATGGGCTGAATTCAGCTCTGGGCTTCAGATTGTGCATGCCAGAATCAGGGCAAAGTCAGCTATAATATATTCTGGTTTAGGGAGCAGCATTTAATCATCCAGAATTGCTCATTCTGGGCAACTAAAGATGGCCAATCTCTAAATTTGATAAATAAACAAACTTCCAGGGGCATTTCAGTTCTAAGTTCAACTCATCAATTCTATGGATAAATTATCTTGAAAAAAACTCTGCTAAGTTTCTTTAGTTTTAACATACAACAGCCAAGTTTTCTCTCTTTCTACAATCACATCACAAATAGGTGTTCTATTTTAAATCATCATTCAATAATGATGCCATGTCCACAGGATTAGGTAATCAGAATGAATTTCAAACGGTAATTCTTTTTGTAACAACCGGCACAGCCATATTATTTCAGATATAACATGAAAAGAAAACCATGATTATAAAATTATGTATAGTTTTGGGTATTTCAACTGAAAAAGAACATCTTAAAGCAGGGATGGAGAACTATGGCCCTTTTATGACTTTGTGGACTTCAACTCCCAGAATTCCTGAGCCAGCCATGGGAGTTGGAAGTCCACTAGTCACAAAGGGGCTGTAATTCTCCATCTCTGCCTTAAAGCAATGGTTTCAAATGGTGGTATATGGAATATTTTCTTTTTATTTGATTTATATGTCGCCCTTCTCCGGAGACTCAGGGTGGCTTACAATGCGTCAAGCAATAGCCTTCATACTTTTGTATATTTTATACAAAGTCAGCTTATTGCCCCCACAATCCAGGTCCTCATTTTACCTACCTTAGAAAGGATGGAAGGCTGAGTCAACCTTGAGCCTG